CTCGGCAGTTTGACAGCCGGCTGGCAAAAGCGTCTTATGCATTCAATAGAGGACCAAGGAAAGGTCTTAGTCCCGATATTTTTGAATTGCAGCCAAAAATCCAGTCTGCAAGATTTGATTGATAATTGGCACTTGAATGATCCCTTTGTTTACGCATTTGTTCAAGCCAATGACATGATTTGCATCCAGGTGAACCGATTTCCCAGTCTTGATTCCAAATTTTGTGAACCGATTTATGGAAGCCGGATTGAGGTACTTGTACCCATCTTCGACGCAGCACAGGGCTTTGAAGTCACCTGGCATAGCTACCGTGTCACAGCCTCAGTGCTTCACAAAGGTGAGGTGCCCACGAATGGGCACTATGTGAGTGCGCTGTACACCTCCCTTAATGTGTTTCTTGCTGATGATGACCATATTCCATACCAGACACGCATGCATGAAATGATTGCCTGGGAGTACTATCTCCTTAGGCTTACGCCAACCACGGCATTACAGCATCCAAGATAGAACATACCCATCTGTCGAACGACCACGATGGCACAGACGCCAGACTTACATGACTTGTTCGGGGATGCTTTAATAAAATTTATTGACCTTTCGTTTTCCATTTCATCCTATAGATGTGGGCCTAGACATTCCTAAAATGTCCGATTATCACACAATTGCAGTCCAAAACGGATAAAAAAATCTTTATTAATATTTTAATATTTAAAAATTATAAATATATATTTTAAATATTTAATGTATAATAATATATTTATCTATTTTTATAAAATATATATATATAAATAAATATACATATAATATTATTCTAAATATATATTTTAATATTCATATATTTATATATAAAAAAATATACGAATTTATATTATATTAAAAATAATATATATAATACCGTACGCTAATATAGAAAAAATATTTCTAGATTTATATATCATTTGCCCGGCCGAGAATAATTATATATTTCGAAAAAAATATATATAAAACGAAAATAAATATAAACATATTTTATCTATTTATTTATTCGTTAATTATTTATATTATTTAATTATCTTTTCCTATTTCTATGTTTATTCCCTTTACGAAAATAAAATAAATAAAACCTCTAAATCGTATCCTTAAATAAATCGACCTTTCGCCATTTCAAAACGATCCTAATCCAACCAATTAATATATTCACGACCTCCCTCCACATTCCTTATATCTTCCCCATTAAACGAGTAAAAACAAAAACAATAAACCAAAAGAAAAATTATTTAAAATATAGTTTCCTAATTAAATTCAATTCCTACCTTTCTTTAATATTTTAATATATTATAAAACAATTTCTTAAATATTTAACAAATATCGAATAAAATATATAATTAATATAAATCATTTCCATTCTCAATTCATCCGTTCTAAATCTAAACTAATACATATTAATTTTCCCCGATATATATATATAATATATAGTAATATTCTAAATATGTTTATTAAATATTATGTACGTAATAGAAATAATAAATCGTAAATTTAGAATATCAATGAATTGATTATATAATTAAAGATTCAACCAAAAATAGGTTGATATATTTGATTATTTGTGAAACAAATGTGCATCCAATCCATCACCTTCCGGTGGTGGTCCTGAAGCCAAGTAAAATTGAGATTTCAATAAGATCCACAACGATTGGTTTGGTAATTTCAGCATATGTCTGTCAGCCACCTCATTTGCCCTCTACCTTGCTCACAACCTTTTTGATCAGCTTCGCATGGTCTTTGTGCAGTATCATCATTCAAATGACAGAGTTTGGGACACTTCGGATTCCCAAACTTGTGCAAAAACGATTCCTGATTTATCCTCAGGCGCCACCCGATGCTTCAGGCTTAGCTGCGAGGATTTATATGTACCAGTGCGATCCAACAATCTGAGCCCAGCTGATTGACTAGGATCATGAGTCCTTCTGAACCGAATGAACTCAGGGCATCTGTTGCTGCACCAGTCTCCAAGCTCAGTGTTCTCGGGTATAAAGGGACGGGCAAGCTCGACTTATTGGTGCAGCGCTTCAGTTTCCTTGTCTTACCCATCCACACACCCGAGAAGCTCGACTCAAATTCATTCAAATTGAGACGCACTCTCTTTCTCTCTCACTATTTTTTACTCTCTGGTCTAAGCAAAAGCATAAGTGCTTGTGTGCACGAAGGCTATACTTTCAAGCTTCAAGAGCGCACATCGGGCTAAATTTGGAGGCTCTTGCTGTCATTTTGCTCTGGGATGTCACGCATGGAAGATCAAATGACAAAACCGCACGACAAGATCTTGAGTGCTCCAGCCACTGGGTATCCCAAAGATCCAAAAACAAGACAAAGAAATGAAAGGCAAAACATGTGAGCAATTGAAATATAAGCTCGGAATCTAAATCTGGAACCTCTCATCGAAGCATGTATAGCCATTGGGCTTGGACACCACAGCCCGAACATGAAGAATGTTGGGAAAATACTCATGTTCGCCGTGACAGCCGTTATCTGAGATGCGGCATCTGTCGTCTGTACATGTTCTCTGTACAATCCATCATAATCCATGATCACAAAATGCCGCATAGTTCTTAGTATCTTCAAAGCTTCTGTGGCGAACATGTGCGCCATCAATCATGACCGAAGCTGTCAAAAGAATAGGTGGCTTCTAAAAGATTTACTCGGCAGCTTGCAGCACATCATATGCCATCATGATGAAGGCCAGGTCTGCCAGAGCCACGGTCAGATGAAAGTCCTCATGCCAACCGTTGAGGCCTTTGAAATGCCAAGGCATATCAGGATATCGTCCTGAGCCCAAACACTTAAATCACCGTGCCCGAAACAGAAGCAGGTCAGTCTGACCGAACCACAGTTGCTGGTTTCGGTAGATACCGAGCGTCCATCTTTGATCCAACTCAAATAATACCATTCCTATAATGGAAACACACGGCACATGTTCTTCTTTCTGAGTCAGGCACGCGAGAAGGGCGGTGCAAGAAAGAAGCCGATGCTATAGATGACGGCTCCAATGATCCAGAGATGCTGAAAGTCGTAGCCAATACCGCAGAGTACCAAGCACCAAAGAAAGTAAAGGGTGTTGATCACAGTCCTGAGGGTTCGCTTCCTTCAGGGAAGAATGGATGAACGAAACAGTCAATCCTCTGAAGCTGCCTCTTTAACATGGACAAATCATTTTTCTCTTGCTTCTTCACTCTGCTTGTCCTTGCAAATGGCTCTCTAGCTTGGCTGCAAGAAACTACACAAACATGTTAAAAAGGAAGACGGTAAGCCCCGTGTACAGGGGCCATACCTTCTTTATCCCTTTTCTTTTTTCTTTATCTGAGACTAGCGCAGCTGGCCTGTCCAGTCTTTTCAGGTCAGACTCCGAGGCGTTCGCCAATTTCGAATCAATCAAACGATGAGTTGAGCCAGCCACTGCACAGGCGCAAGCGAAGTGGAGCAGCCAAAGTCGTGCCTTGCTTCTAGACTAAACAGGGCCAAACTCAGTTTGGACGGCCATAGAAATCAAGACAACAAAACTTATTCAGGAAAGCATGTCTTGTCCACCGTTGAGGGAGGAAGCTTCCTTGAAGAATGCGTCCGATCGCCCCTAATGTACTGCACCCACAGAAAAAAATAAAAGCAAACCTCGGCACATCGTCCAAGAAGACGGAGGTGGGAGCCCACACTGCAAAGCAAATCCCGACCAAGTCCATCCGCAACCAGACATTGAAAATCTCAACTGAAGGGTGTGGGTAGAGGTGGAGTACGGCGCTGCAAAAGTAGCCTTGGGGCTGGGAAAAAAAGTGCCAAAGACTGCCCACACATGTGCAGTTCGTTGCTGTGGTGTCTGCGGTGTGGCTTAGCTTTGGCTACTGATTGAAATCTTGTGTAGCACATGGTGAAGTCCTAAGTCTCCAATTCATGCCCAGCGGCTCAACAACTTCGCACCCAGCAAGGCACTGAAGCGGAGCCAAAGCTTTGGCAATAGCCCACCAAGAGCGGCGCAACTGTAGCCAATGAAAAGGAACAGTAGCCTTCCAACAACTGAAGGAACAGAAGAAACCAAGTGATTCATGAGTTCTCCCCCTGTATACCTCTCCAGGTATCCTTGGGCATAAACCTGGATCATTGAACCTCCAGACTGCAATGCCGGCTAGGTGCACTGCATGGTTTTTCATGAATCGATCAATCGATTGCCGCCGAAAAGGACAGGTCAGGACAAGTGCGGCCTGTCTTGATTCATCCAATTCCAAAACAACTTTGAACCTGCTGATGATAACTTGGGATGCCCCGCTGCCGCCCAAGAGATAATGATAAGCACATATTGTATTATAGACAGTTAGCCCATTGGTTGCGGGGGCCACCCTGTTATAATACAAATCCATGTTCAAAGTCATGCGGAATGATCAATTCTGTGGGAGGGAACGGACATCGAACTCCAAGTCACACCACTGAGATGATGCCGTGCAAGACTCCACGAAGCGCGGGCCGCTTCCATCCATTGACCTCGGGTTGTAGTTAGTCGCATTCCTGTTCCTGCCTCTTTTTTCCGCTATCGAAGGTATGTGAATTGGTTATTACATTGGTGGTCCTCATCAACAGTAGCTCTGTGGCAGCGGCTCAAAACTTTGCTACTCAGCTAAACATCTCCCAAATGATCCCATTGCGCTCAAATGATTCCCTGGTTCGGTGTGTCCAGTTTTGACCTGCACCGGTGTAACTACTGTGTATAATTGTCATAGTCGATTCTGACACCATTGCTGTTCCATCATGCCTGACCACCCTGACTGGGTTTATGAACTGGATGCCCGAAACTGCAGGAATCCTGTTTTGCAGAAGAAGGAGAGTATATAACGCTTCAATGACTTTCCTTGGCAAGTCTCATATGACTTTCGCCCCAGCAGGGGAGACGAAAGAGAGGAAATCTGCATGTCGAACAGTGCAGTGCAGCGACACGCGTGGGTGAATGAACTATATAAATCGATTGAGCTGTCAAGGCAGCGACAAGGACAAGTCCGGCTACAGTGAAAAAGCGAAGGGGCTGGAAGTTTCAATCTGCAGTCTGTACTCAAGACTCTGAAGACATCTCTCTTGGCACAACCAAGATCCTCTGGCAGTCTAAATTGACAAGTCGTGAAAGCACGGACTAGGCATGTGTCTGCATGTCAGTCTGACGCCTCAGGGTCTGCACAACAAGGCTGTTGTGGCCTTACTGCACCTTGAGAGCAAAATAGGGTCTAGTCATGTCTAGTCTAGTTGCGGCAAACAGTTTCAAAATCTTCATGTCGAATGTCTTCGACTGTCTCACTTAATTGCAAAGCGTCAAAGAAACATAAAGAAACCGTACCTCAGGATACCCACCCTTGCAGGATGGCATTCATAATGATCCGAAAGGACACATGCACCAGGAACCAAAATCGTACACCGTTTCGAAAAGGTCGTCGAGGTCATCTGAGGTCCCTGGCATTCTGCCAACAAAGTTCACACAAGCCTGGCGTCGTTGAGGGAGTTCGTTCGTTTCGTCTGGAAACGGATGGACACACGAAAAACAAAGCCGTCGGGCGGCCTTGCCGCCTGGCACATAGGAGGCCACAAAGTATAAAAGACCCACTGCCTGAGCGGACAGCTGAGCGCGGCATTCCTTCAGATATCATGAGTTGAGAAGCATTGGGTGAAGAGAACGCGTTCTGCGGATGACCGTACCAATGAGAAAGTGACAAAAACAAAAACAAACAAACGCATGGAAAAAGGCACAAGCCAACGATAGCCACATGGTAACTATCGTGTCCTTGGCTTAAACAATCGGCTTGTGAACACCACACGATGGAGACGGACTTTCGCTTCTAAAGCGATCAGTCGATCAGTGTTTGGCTCCAATGGCCATCCGCCTGAAGGAGTCCACAAATGCCCGTGAGCAAAAAGCTGCGCAGGATGATGGTTGCCACTAAGGTACCCACCTGAGTCATGCCCATTTTGCAAGTCTCGGAGTGGAGAATCGGATGTCTCGCTTTGCTAAAGCACTTTGAGACGGATGTCCCTGAAAATCGTCCCTCCACACTGACGCAATCCCACTCTAGGCTGCTCGACCAGACCGACGCCGTATGCAACAGAGAAGGGCAGTTGCTCCTTCCTTGCCATGCCCGACAAAAAGGCCTCATTGCCAAAGCGTAGAAGCTTCAGGAGAAATAGGAGTGCGAACATTAAACACCAAAATATCCGATTGGTGTGTCAACTGGGAGAAGCCCACCAGACGTACGCTTGTTTGTGCGGTTAATTGGCCAATTCGACGTGAATCCAGATCCAACTCCGTGCCTTCGGCCCCTTTAGCAGGGCAAAGGACCCCAACCTCGGCAAACTCAGCAGCCTTTTGTTTGCTGGGCCTTGTCAACATGATGTCAACATGAATCATTTGCACTGGCCAAGGGACATCGTCATGGAGCCAAAAGCGAAGAGCAGGGCAAATTTCTGTGGGGCGATGACCATCACCGGCAAAAAGTTCAAGGACTGAGTTCAACCAAGGCAGTTGGCTTGATGAGCTCTGTGCAGTGGAAAGTGCATTTACACTCCAGCTCCATTCTTGACACCGCTAGCATGCTGAGGCTCTAGCAAGAGAGATGAGGAAAACACCAGCTAAAAAAGTGCCCGCAAACCTTGCCAGACAAAAATCAACGAGCATGAATTAAGCAATCACAAGTATGCTAATCTGACTTTCAATGCCATCATGTCAACTAGCTTTGCTTTTGACCACAACCGACCGGATTTCGGGTTCCCCCACTGTGCCAGCTTTGCCGGCGACAGAGCCAAGTTTCCCAGGCCTTTCAATCCTTCACCCGCCTGCAACAGGCTTTCTTGCTCTGAACAGCTCCAAACCTTTTTGTTAGCCCGGGGGGTAGGCCGTGGTAGCTACTAAGCTATGAAGTAGGCCGCTTCTAGCAGCTGGATGCAGGAAAGCTCACGTACTATTCATGTGGTTCTTAGATCTTTTTTGGATACAATCCATCCTTCTACAGTAGATGTCTATAAGTAGACACGCTTAGCTACGAATTTGAATAGGAATTCCACGCAGTCTTTGAGAGGTCTCCCTATTTCAATACACGCCCATATTGACTCCTGACTCCTCATGTGATTCTCAAGAAACTTGGGAGCGTGAAAACACCATGACGGTCCGCCTGTGCGAGTTTGTCCTTGGCCGCACCTGCCACACTCGCCGCCTTGTCCTCAGCAATAAGACCCCAAAAGAGTGCTCGTCCGAGATCAAAACTGGGTTTGGACATGACCCTCTTGAACTGACTCGGACATTCAACCCAGTTGAGATCTGTTTGCCGAGATCGTCTTGAGGTCCTGGATGCTCCTGATGTCTATACTCGGTGATGCCGCTAGGTTTCCATCACAATCCCTAAAAATCTAGGAACCAAATCATTAGTGCAAGCACTTCTTCAAGGAAGCCTCCCCCGCCGCCCTTGGGGGAGCTTCCTTTTTTTTTTGCTTTCCAGCCGCAACGAGAAGTCTCCGGCAACCATCACGCATTCCGCATTGATGGTCACATCTGTACCAACAAAAGACCTACAACAAAGCGTCGAACGAAATACTCCACGAGTGAGGAGTAAGGCTAGCGCCCTTTGCAAATGCCCTGGCCAGCATTTCAAGAGCGGGAGTTGGCAACCAAGCTTCAGCTCCAACAAAGGTCCCTTTAGGAAAGGTCTTTCCGTTGCTCTTATTGCCTTTGTCGAGCAAAAGTGGAGCGACAGTGACCTGCTTATGCTTGCAAACTGCAAAACCAGCTCTGATGATACTGGCATATGCTTGAGGTGTACTCAGAATCCCTGAAGGCAGTTGAAACCGCCAACCATTGATGAACGCCAGAACAGCCAACTCAAACACCGAACATGCAAAATTTTCCCCAACTCTCCATTTCACAGAGGCACAAAACCGTAAGAAGGTTTGGAAATTCACCTCAGTGAGCTTGTTATTCTCCCGAAAAGGCACATTGCCTGGATGCTGTGCCTGCCACATGTATAAGGAGGAAGACACGTCCCACGGCCAACGAGGAAACATCTGTCGAGCAGAATAAGTAGCAGCAGGTGCATCGGTGTTACGGGCCACAGTCGGAGTAGTGGCAACTGGCTTCTTACACCATCTATTGCACTTAGACAACCAAAGTTGCCTAGCAAAAACATCTGCTTCCTTACTGGCAAGCTCAGCTTTGATGGCACGGGCAGTCTCAGAAATGTGCTGTTTCGCATGATAGTCGGCAAGCCTGTTGAGTACAATATCACGCAGAGTCGATCCAGCCCGTTGAGCTTCTTCTTCGGTAATTTGCGAGCTTGGGATATGCTCCAATAAATGAGCAGGGCACCACAGAAGTTGCAAAGGTGAATCATGGAAAGCCCTGCGCTGATGCAGCAAAGTCAACAAATGCCCCCACCAGTTGGCGTGTGTCCACTCCACTGACACTTTATCATCATGCAGCAACGTAGAGAACTGTTGCACAATTGTAAGCGAATCAGTATGGATCACCAGAGGTTGCGAAGCAAAGGAGAAGGCACAAAGCACCGCCCAAAGCTCAGCACTATAGCTTGATAGCCTCCAATGGTGGACCCGGCCCACAGCCAATACAGATTCATCACAACGAATAACTGCAAAAGAGGCTAAAGCCAACCAAGGATACTGCGTGAGCTGAACAGATCCATCCGTCCAGACATGCTCCACCGGCCCAATGTCCACTGACCATTGCTGGACCCGCAGTTCTGATGGCTTAGAGACCACCAACTTGCGCCGGATTTCCTCGATTGGAATTTCCGCGATTCCCAAAACAGGGAAGTTTGGCCCAAGAAAGAATTTGGTGGCAGGCTGCCGAAGCTCAGCAGGTAGTGCCGCACATTCATTGACAAGGTGCGGAAGAGACTCCTTGGAGGCGTGACAGAACCTGCAGTCGGCTGTTTCAGCAAGGCCAGCCGCTGCAAGGCGATCAGCCGTCAATGTACAGCCTGTGATAGCACTGTCCCAGTGAAAGAGAAAGCTGTAGCCCTCATTTGGCACCTTGATAAGCTTCTTTTTGGCCGACAGAGTCATGGGAAGGTCAAGAAAACCAGTGGCCTTGCAAACATCCTTACGTGGCATGAGACAGGCTGTATGGTAGCACTTGTTCGCCGCCAGTCCCTTGAGGATGCACTTTAAGTCTGGGATCGAAAAATCCAGGAAATTTACAGGCTCCGAATCGAACATGGAGACCTCAAAAGTGTGCGCCCAATCGATGTCCAAAATATGACATGCTTGGCCAAATTGCGTCATCCAAGCCTGTGCAGTGAGCTGATCCTGGGCATAGAGCTGCTGCCATTGTTGTCTGGCATATTGCGAATTCTGAAGAAACCGAGCAGATTCCAGAATCGTAGTGAGAGCCCTGCACAGAAAAGGATCAAGGCGATGTGCCTTGTGTACAATACACAGCAAAAGGTGCTTCGACCGCCACTTGGGCCGGTCTTGCCACAGAGCATCGGCTACTGCACTTTGCAACCTGGCCAAAAGTCTTTTGGGCACAAAGTTCAACTGAGGAGCAAAGGCAATCTGAGGAAGTACTTTGGTAGCCAAGATCTGTGCACGCTTGTACGCATCACAAGGCAGCCCACGAATTGCTTCACAATCCCGCAGTGCTGTTTGAATCTTAGCTACAGGAAAATTGCCCACGTTCTTGCGCGTTGTTTGGACAAAGGCTCCCAAGATGTTGACGACCTCAACAAGCTTCATCTGTGGAAAAGCCTGTCTGAGCGCTTTACGCATGGGGCCTGTCGTTGCAAACAATTCACATTTGTTGGCGTTGAGGAACTGGCCACAAAGTGAGTCCCATAACTCAGTGACCCTGACCGCATCAATCAGACCATCAATAGAGGATTGTCGTGTCCACAAGTAGGTATCATCGATGAACGCTCTGTACTCAACTCCCGCCACATGACTGACCAGCCAAGCCCAAATGGCCATATGAAGGTTTATGCAGAGCAGGCTAAGGGAACATCCCTGAACAACCCCATTTGGTGTGGAGATAGGCCGCTCTCTAGTCCACTGCTTATAAGAAAGGAATCGAGTCATCCTGGAATAGAGACCCAGGAAGGCACGGACAAAGCCAAGCGGCAACCCCAGCGTGAGCATAATGGCTGCACAAAGTCTTGGCATCAACCTGTCGAAGCACTTAGACTTGTCCAACTTGACAGCAGCAAAAAAGCCTTGAAAGCTATGCGCATGATCAATCTCCATTTGAAGGGTCATGTGCACCTCCGACATTTGGCGATGTTTGATTCCTCCTTTAAGCTGAAGGGGCATCACTTGTTGCTGCCAGGTCTGCAACTGCAGAAATCGAAGACCGGTGTAAAGCAGTGTAAAAATGGACTGCAATGAGATCAAACGCTTGGACAAAGGAGCGTCACTGCCATCTTTGTTCAGAATGATCATTCTCACCTTGGTCAGAATGTCAGGGAAATCATCAGTACCCGCCTCAACGCTGTTGAACAAATGGGCAACAGGACGAAAGGCGACAGGGGGAAGCGCTTGCACCTCACGTGTATGCCAACCATCAAGCCCAGCAGCTGCATCAGGCTTGCGACGTTGTGCTTGTTCCCAAAGTTGCAACTCCGTAACTGGAGGGAGAGCAACTGCACGACCTTTGTCATGGATATAAGGCCAAACTTGCTTCAAGATGTGCATCTCATGGGGATGCTGCGCGTTGACCGAGAAGACTGAATCCCATTTACTCGCGATGACATCCATGGCAGTTTGAGGGTCATAAACAATATTTCCCACATCATCCTCAACAAGGTTCTGAGGAACCACACGTCCTTTCTTCTTGAGATATTGATAGACCACTTTGCCGATAGCCAACGAAGTAGTAGCATTCTTCATCGCCTCACGCCATCGATGAATGGCAGCAAATTTGATCTGTTTGATCTCTGTTTCAATAGCCTGCAGAGTCATCTCAATCAAGTGAGGCACATCAAACGGAAAAATCATCTGCACTGCCTGTGGGATAATCCGAGCTTCTTTCAACCTCCTCATCAATCTCCTAATAGTCTGAAGCAGAGTGCGAGCATCAACCTCTCCAGAAAGCGGCCTTCCAAATCTGAGTGCCAACTCACGCAATGAGCGCAAAGAAGCTTGCAGCAAAAGAAGGTGCGGTGAAGCTGCATTGCCCGCAGCCTCTTGAGGTGCTGCAATATGTGTCTTGCAGAATTTGGGTAATCGCCCTCTGGATCGAGGACCCTTTTCCCACGTAGCCCCGTTATTCAACAGAACACAGGTAGCAAACTCATTGAAAATGTCCCACTTCTGGTTTGACTCCACAGCGTTCTTGAACCTTGACTCGTAAGCCATCCAGAGATGTTCACATGCTTGATTGACAGGACACGCAGGATCCGATTGATCAACTTTGGATACCAAGGAGAGATCCAACTTGGCAGATCGTTGAAGAACAGTACCAACTTGTTGAATCCGATCCCAAGCGAAGGTTGCCTGCACAGGCCTATGCTGTCGATCCTGATGATCCAAAACTTCAATCCTTACCGTTGCAGTCAAGGCAGTTCGATTAACCAAGATACCATCAATAGATGATTGGCCTTCGCCATCTCCAGTTGCAGCATGTTGAAAAAAGGTGTCAGGTCTGACAATTTCCCCAAACTCGTTTGTCTGAAGGAGAGGGTCAGCCTACCCCCAATGATCAAGAGCCAGTTGCACACAGGGGTACATGCCAGCCTCCATTTGGAAGTCATCTGCAAACACCACTGGGATGTCCCCGAACTGCGCAGCCACACTGAACAAGTTATCAAGCATCTCGTTGTTGCGGTCGAACTTAGGGCGTTCAGAGGCGGCATTGGCAATGGCGTAGAAATTGAAGGCAAGCACCTTCACACTTGGAGACACCTGATGCCACGTCGCAGTCACACGAGCCGTGGCTCGCAACAATGGCCAACTTCCAGAGACATCTGCTTTGTCATCAAAAAGTTGGGTGAGGTCAGCTTTGGCACAAGTGGCAGTCCCCCCTGAGGGAACTCTGAAAGTACCATTGGAAGCTCTCTGTTTCTGCAGCGGTTGTGAACAGAAAATATCCATGTTACACAAAGCAGCTTTCCGTTTGGCGTCCACAATATTTGAATCCGCAATCCGAGCTTCTTGAAGCATAAGCACATCCGCACTCCACCCAAGACAGCTCGAATTTGTGGCAAAAGAATCAATG